GAGTGTGGGGATATGTGGGGTACTTTACATAGGATAAACAAAGGGAATAGCAAACAAAAAGGTCATGAGGTGGAAGCATGTCTGAAAAACAGCAAAGAAACCAGTGTAGCTGGAACAGAGCAAACAAAAAGAGAGCAGTACGAGATGATGTCAGAAAGGGGCCTCTTCCCTCCTTATCCCCTGCTCAACCTCACTAAAGTGATTAGAAAAGGTCGCCAATAACTTCTTAATGCAAAAAGTCAATGAACATATCAGTCTACTCTTATTTGATATGTCCATAGCATTTTTGCCAGTTCTTAAAAACTTTTTAACATAAACGACTTGAAACATAGATAAAAGCAGAGATAAAAAATCTCCTAGTTTCAACCATTAACTCATAGCCAACCTTGTTTCATCTATACCTTTACCCACTTCTCCCAGATTATGAAGCCAATCAGAGAAATCATAGCATTTTGTTGGTAAATATTTCTATAAATATCTTTTTAAAAGAATTCTTTATTTAAAAAAAAAACTGCAAAACCAATATCATGCCTAAAAATTTACTAATTCCTTAATATTGAATATCTAGTAAAAGTATTCAAATTTTTCCGACTCAAAGTGTTTGTTCTAATCAGGCTCCAACTAAGGTCTACACATTGCAATTGAACAATATGTCCCTTAAGTATCTTTTAATATGTAAAATCCCATTACATATCACTTCCCCCCCCACCCCCCTTGCAACTTCTCCCTTGTATATCTTGTGATGGTAGTTAGATTTAGAGCCTTGATCAGATTCAGGTTCAGGTTTTTTGGTTTGTTTTTTTTAAATAAAACCACTTCATAGGTGATACTGTGTATATTTCCCTCAGGAACTCTATGTCTATTTCTCTTTTGTGATGTTAGTAACCAGTGATAATCACTGCCTAGATGTAGTAATTCATTAAATTTGTAAGATAATGATATACAAATTCTATTATTCCTCATTTCTAAAAAGAGAAACTTCCCCTCATTAACTAGCTGTTTATCTGGAAGTTCAATTTGCATAGGAAAAGGAAGGAGATATATACCCGATTCCTTAATTTACCAGTTTTCAAAATAATGAGTTTTGATTACTAAGCATCTTCCCCAGGTGACTAATGCAGTGTTCTGTTTTTTAAGTATCATTACAAAATCATAAATTTAAATATATTTGCAGTTATAATCCTTAATTAATGATATGTTTCACTTTTGGCCAGTGAGAGGCTATTTAAGTCTCTGGAGTCTTTCTGATATGACTCTAGAGGTCTTTGATAACTAATGTTTGCTTTCTGTATGATAAGATGGCACAAGTTCATCTTGTTACATTTAGTGTGCCAGTTTTGGAATCAGCCATTTCTCTTAGGAATTCTGGTTCCTTTTAGTGGAAAATGGGATGTGTAAAGCATTTTTTTTTAAGTAAAGTTTGCTGATATATAATTTACTTTCTGTAAAATTCATCCTTTTTAGTGTACACTTCTGTGAGTTTAACAAATACATATAGTTATGTAACTGTCATCTACTTCTCTAGTGTCCCTTTGTAATCTACCCCTCACCCTCAGCCTCTGGCAACCACTGATGTATTTTCCACTACACTTTTGTCTTTTCCAAAATGTCATATAAATGGAATCATAGAGTATGCTACTTCTTGATTCTGGCCACTTTCGCTTAGCATAATACATCTGAGATTCATCCATATTGTTACATGTATCAACAGCTCATTCTTTATTATTGAATAGTATTCCACTGAATAGGTATGCCACAGTTTATTTACCCCCTCAACTGAAGGATTTTGTGTTGTTTCCAATTTAGGTCTAAAATAACTAAAGCCATAAAAAACATTTGCATACAGGTTTTTCAAACATAAGTATTTAATTCTCTTTAGTAAATGCTTCAGAGTGGAACTGTGGGATCACATGGTAAGTGTACGTTTAACCTTATAAGAAACTATTGTCATGCTGAGTTTCAAAGTGGCTCTACCATTTTGCATTCCCATCAGCAGTGTATAAAGTGTCAGTTGCTATCCTCATAGCACTTAATATTGTCAGGGTGTCTTTCTTTTCTTTTTTTCTTTTCTTTCTTTTCTCTCTCCCTCCCTTCCTCCCTTCCTTCTTCCCTTCCTTCCTTCCAATATACAGGGTTGTTTTAATTTGCATTTCCCTAATGACTAAAGCCAAAACCCTACCCCCTTGAGAAGCTCACAGTCTTGTAGAATAAAGAATTAAATAAACGGAACACACTCTGATGAATTCTACAGTACTAAACACAGTAGTATATACTTGTTATATAAGTATAGAGAACTGCTATTTAGCCCACATGGGAGGTGGGATTAATTAAGTTTTCCTAGATATGTTGTCTGATGTAGATGAAGTTTTCCTAGATATGTTGTCTGATGTAGATCTCAGAATAGCTAGTCTGCTAGGTGAAAAGTGGCAGTTTTGCAGGCAGAGGGGAAAAATTACAGTAAAGGCAAAATGGTGGAGAAAAGCATAAGGATTAGGTAACTGACTACTGCATAAAGTTCAAGGTGAAGAATGATGGGAAAGAAAGCTAAAATGAAAAGGAGGGGCCGGGTAACAGACACTATTCATGGAAAACAATCCACAGAGTATAAACTTATCTTCTTAGGAAAAAATACATAAAAAATTATAAAGATAACTCAGGAAAAATCTTAATAGACGTGCTAAGCAACTGAGAAAATTGACAACTTCAAAATCAAAGCAGTCAATTTGTTTTCTGATGTAGCAAAAATCTGTAACAGGTGTTAATAACTACATATAAAATTGCTATCCCCTTCGCAGTGTCTGAAAAACCAACCAACCAACCAAACAAACAGAAAAACAAAGGCCAACCCTCATTTACTAATATTTTGAAAAACTTCAGTACTCACAAATAAAATCGAGACTTCAGAAAAATAATTCAAGAACCACATAGAGTTGGAAGCCTGGGAGGCAAATCTGTGTTTATATTCTGGCACAGGCACTTACTAGCTGTGTGACCGCAAACAAATTACTTTTTCTCTGTAAAACTCCAGGGCTGAATGAATTGATCTCTAAAATCCCTTCTACTGTAACATCCTATGACTCACCAGAAAAATTAATTCAAAGGCTGAAAACAATTCTGTTATGTAGCCGCTGCCTTATTTATTTCCGCTTCCCTCTCCTCCATCTCTTCCACTCTATGCTACAATTGCAATGAATTCATTCGAGTTCCCTAAATATATCATACTCACTCTTACCTCTGGACCCTTAGATATTATTCTCTCTGTCTGGTACCCTTCCACTCTATCATCAGTGCTGCTTCTTTCTAAGAAAATGACTCATTAAGTCCTACTTCTCTTTTAAGTGTCCACTGTAGCATTCTTTTTTCCCTTTTTCTCCCCAACCTCACCACAATTCAGGTTAGATACTCTCTGTATTCCCATGGCGCCCTGTCCTTTCCTGATTACAGCAATACTAAGTTTTATTTGAATTTCCTGTTTAATAGTCAGTCTCTTCCATCTTGGTGGAGTTGTGTGATAAGAAGGAAAAATGGTGTTGCCTATATAACACTGTATCACCAAAACCTACCACAATGCCTGGTTTAAGAGAAAAAAAGTAGCACCTAGTAGGTAGTAATAAAAAAATGAGTAACAAACTGTGACCACTCACCTCTAACACAGCCAGGACGGTGTCTAACTGATCCTCTCGGAGGGTAATATTGTTGGAGATTTTTCTCATAGTATGTATGGACTGCAGACGTACTTCCTCAATTTCGTCATTAAACATGTCAACCAGGAAATCAAGGCACTTCTCAGCAAAAGAGGGTGACGACTGGGCCAGCATGCAGAGAGCCTCTACAGCTGCAATGCGGACCTCTAGACAAAAGGAGACAAATAAAACTGCACATCAAGTTAAGAGCTATGGAAAAAATTCAAGGATTCATTCTCATTCAGGTTTGTCTTTTGCTCTCTCACTCAACAAACTCTGTCTGGGAGATCCCCTCCATGCTCATAGATTCAGCTACAACCTTCATGTCGACCTAAGAAAGACTTTTGTGTCACAGGGACTAAGGCTTAGATTTGACAGACGTTATCAAGTCACACATCTATCTCTATTAACTGAATTTTTTGAAAACAAAAGATCTTATTTATCTGTATTCCAACCACAGAAAAGTACTTTTTAAAAGGGCGGTTTTAAAATATTATTAAGATTAAAACAGGCTACATATCATTATTCTCACATTAGAGATGAGATTCAGCAAAGTGCATTCACTTACCTCAAAGTCAATGAGAGCAGAGCTAAGTCTAGTACCCAGATCTGCTGATTCTAGACTAGGATAGCATCGTATAGTATTTAAAGGTACATGCTCTAGAGTGTTCGAAGTCTCACAGTGAATTGTGAAGAGCAATTCCTCCACTGACTTGGAGGGTGATCTTGAAGAAGTAACTTAACTTCCTAGGACTTCAATTTTCTCACTTGTTAAATGGAGATAACACCAATTTCCTTACAGAGTCGTTAGGATGACTAAATTACATAATGGAAGTGAAGCACACTGCCTGGCATATGTTAAAAGCTCAATAAATATTAGCTATAGCATAGGTACGGGTCTTGTAAGCACCTTGAAAATAGAAGCACGTCTTCTACCTCTTTGCATGCTCAGAACACGCAACAGTGAAGCCACTGATTCCAGGAAGCCCTTTGTTCATCAATTTTTCCTAAAAGGGTACTATATGCCAGGCCCTAAGCTAAGTGTTGGGATACAGAGATGAGAGATGAGCAAACTATAGACAATGCTCACAAAGCCATACATGGCGGTTTTATTCTAGTAGTTTCACATAGTTCTGTAACACAATGTACAGCTTCAAAAAGAAAAGAAAAACACTCCAATTGTGGTTAAAACTCACAAATATAATTTGGTTTTGTATAAGAAAATTTTATAGACACTTTAAAAGAAGAGTTACTACATTAAAGAGAGATGACTCAGATTTTCCTTGGCAGTTATGAATTCCTTCTTTTAGTCAGAAGAATTTGCTTCACTTCACAATAACGTAATTTAAACATGAAATTGCTAATAATTACAAAGCAAGCCAGAAATGGACCCAAATGTGTTAAAAGCCCTTGCTCTTCTTCCTAGGGCTTTATTTATTACACCATAATGACTCATGTGTAACACTTGCAACTCTATCAAGGGTATCACAGTATACTGAAGATACAAAGATAAACAAGATCAAGACTGTTGCCCAGAGCCTGCAGCCAAGAATAGTGATGAATGATATGATGGAAAAGCACAAGGAGTATAAGTAATATGCAGAAGAGGCACACAGAACACTCAACAGAATCACAGGCAGCTTTCTGAAACAAGTGATCCCTAAAACAATACCTGAAGGAGCTGCTAGGTCAAAAGAAAGGAAAAAGACCTTTCTAAGCAGGGGAAACATATGCACAAAGGCCCAAAAGGGAGGGAGAACAAGAAACAACTAGAGGACTAAAAGTATGTGTGATACTAGAGTCTACAGCTAATGAAATGATCTACTCACTTTCTAAAGTTAAATTCCTTTAATAAACCTTAGTGACAAACTGAAAACTATAGAACTAAACAACATAAACATTAAGTGATGAAATTCAACTGTAGAAACAAAACAAAGCATAAATGCTACTAGCAACAAAATAAAATACATTCTAGTTATTTGTCTTAGAATGAAACAGGCTTTAATAACTAGACTTCCTTATTATCTAATACTACTTAAATTATAATTCATGTATTAAGTTCATAGAGACCAAAACAGCAGAGGTAGCTTTAACAAATTTCTACATATACAGAAAATCTTAGAGCAAATTGGAGAGAATAACCCAATTCTTATATCTAATCATAGAAAACTGTCTTCTAAAATAATTTTCCGGCCCTTCTGAGAAGTCTTATTGTGAGGTAATTTTTATAGGTATTTTAAAGACTGAGTTCTAATCCTGTGACACAAATTTACTGTAAAAATTGCACAATCAACATTATATCCCTAGGTCTGTTACCCTCCCTGAAGATGAAGAGATTAGAGGCAATCATCTCAAAGCACTGACATTCTGTGATCTATGTGAGATAGACAGCATCATTTTATAGAAATCACAAGAGCTTTGCAGGCTATTACTGGCTAAAATGCTGTAACAAAGACCAGACGTATCTTTCTATATGAAACAACTAAAAGCAGAGAAAAAATATACAAAACAACAGTATTCAACACACCGGACATCAAGCAATAAAGAGTAGTGATCCCTGAGAGAGGAGAACTAAACAAAGTGAGCCCTATGATTATATCAGTTTACTGTCTGGAGAGTTTCCAGGTTGCAGTTCTCCCTGAGTTGAGAAGACAGAGCTGAGAGTCTGGTAAGGTCAGTGTGGCTAGGATTCATAGAGCAAAGCATCAGAAGAAAGAACCACACAGGGAAAGTGAGCTTGGGAGATCTGCAGGGGGTCCACCTCAAGTGGACAGCTAAGTTCTGATCTGTGAAGAAACTATTGGAAGTCAGAAAGAAGCACTCGACAAAATTAAAGAGAACAATCTCTAAAGCTCACACATGGTCTACAATTGTTTTGTCAGAACAGTTTGTTTCAGTAGTGAAAATAAATCCTAGACTAAATGTTGCTTGAGTCCCACCTAACAAAGCTTAAAAATAAGACCTGAGCTAAATTCATCCCAGAACAAAGCTTAAGAATATTTATATGAATATAACAATGTTCAGCATCCAATAAAGTAATATTCACATTGGCTAGCATCCAACTGAAAATTACCAGGCATACATAGAAGGAGGAAAATATAATCCATAATAAAGAGAAAAATTAATCAACCAAAACCAACCAGAAATCACACAAATAACAGACATAGTAGACAAGGACATTAGGCCAGTTATTGTAAATGCATTCTCTGTTGACAAAGCTAGAGAAAAGAGTAAGCATATTAAGTAAATACGTGGAAGATACTAAACAAACTCAAATTCCAATCAAATTTCTAGGGATAAAAAAGACAAAATCCAAGATGAAAAATACACAGGGATTAATGGCAGATTAGATATTGCAGAAGAAAAAATTAGTGCTCTAAGACAAAGCAAAAATTTCTAAAATGAAACAAAGAGACAAAAAGACTAGGGGGGAGAAAAGGAATAGCACACCAATGAGGACAACCTCGGTAACCTAATAAATGTATAACTAGAGTCCCCAAAAAAGCATGGGGCCAGAAAAATATTTAAAGAAATAATGGCCAAAGATATTACAAATTTGATGAAAACTATAAATCCATAGATCCAAGAAGCTCAATAAACTCTAAGCATAAGAAACATAAAGAAAATTACACCAAGACACATCAGAATTAAATCGCTTAAAACCAGTGATAAAGAGAAAATATTAAAGGCAGCTAGAGAAAAAGGGAAAAATGGCATAGATGATAGAGGTTCTGTTCATTCCTCTGGCGATCAAATCAAAGTTGTGACAGAAACAAGGAACAAGCAGCAAGGAAAAATAGCCTGGGATCTTGATGAACAAGTCATACAACTAGGGAGAAATCCAAGAAAGCACCCTGTAATGACAGAAGGTAGGACAGGACGAGCAGGGCTACCCAGTCTCAAGCAGCTGAGTGGGACGGAGTCTGCCACAGCAGCAGTAGCAGAAGTCTCTTAAAGGAGCCGCGTCCCCAAGCAGATTATCGCGGTGATGGACCTGCTCGTTCTGAGCACCAGTGCTGATTGGGCTGTGCGCAGGGGGCACCAGAGACGTACAGGGAGATGTTGTCCAAGTGAGGGCCTTGTGAGACTCACTCTGTACAGAAGTGCCAGTGGTATCCATTGTTCCCTGTTGAGCCCTCCTCCCTCCCAGTGCGCAGACACAGTGCAGCCATAGCCATGTCATCAAACTAGATAACAGAGGTCGCTCTGCCCAAAGGATTCCCTGAAACCCTGCCTCCTCCAACTCACGGCCCCACCCAAGCCACGTCCAGGTATATCCTCAGCCAGTCAAGTGCTCCTTGCTGAGTAGCGCCTAGAATCACACTGGAGGCAGCTGGCCTTGGTTTCTAGTGTAGCCTTTTGAGGAAACTATAAGCAGAGCATCTGTGGATTGCTTGCTGAATCTTAACAGGTTGCCCCAGAGAGGCACAGGCTGGGGCTAAATTTGGCCTGCAGCTGAACCCCTCTCAGGACTGTGCCAATGGACACTTATTTCACAAATACACACTAATAAGACCAGGAGACTTAGGAGCTTTGCTTAGTACATGGAAACAGATAGGGAAAGGCAGCCAAAATGGGAAGACAAAGAAGCAGAAACCATATGAAAGAACAAAACAGAGATCCAGATATAATGGAGTCAAATAATCTAACAGATGCAGAGTTCAAAACACGAGTTATAAAGACGCTCAATGAACTTCTGAGAAGTACAGATAAATTCAGTGAGAACTTCAACAAAGAGATAAAAAACATAAAAATGGAAATGGAAATTATAAAAAGGAACCAGTATGAAATGAAGAACACATTATCTGAGATGAGAAGTATATTAAATGGAATAAACAAAGGAAGAAATAAAGTGAATAAAAAAGAGGATCAAATGCCCTATCTAGAGGACGGGAAAGTCAAGGACACTCAATCAGCATGGCAAGAGATAAGATGCCAAGACTATAAAAATAATTTAAGAAGCCTATGGGACACTATTAAGAGTCGAAATATCCATCTGATCGGCATACCTAAAGAAAATTAAGATGTTGAACAGCTGTTTGAAGGAATAATGATGAAAAACTTCCCTACCTGATGAAGGAAATGGACATAAAACCCCAGGGGGCTCGGAGAATTCCAAAAACCAGGAATCCAAAGAGGCCCACACCAAGACACATCATAATTAAATTGCCAATGGCTAAATACAAAGAAAAAATATTAAAAGCAGCAAAACAAAAACAAATAGTCACCTATAAGGGAACATCCATAAGACTGGCAGCTGATTTCTCAAAAGAATCTATGCAGGACAGAAGGGCTTGGCAAAAAATATTCGATGTGATGAAGACCCAGGATCTACAACCAAGAATAATTTATCCAGCAAAGCTATCGTTTAGAGTTGAAGAACAGATAAAGAGCTTCCCAGACAAAAATAAGATAAAGGAATTTATCACCACCAAGCTAGTATTACAAGAAATGGAGGGACTTCTTAAGAAGAAAAAAACATGTATCAAAAACAGGAATAAAGAATGGTAACAACTACATTCCTATCAATAAGTACCTCAAATGGAAAAGAATTAAGTGCTCCAACCAAAAGACAGAGTGACTGAAAGGATAAGAAAACAAGACCCCTACATATGCTGCCTACAAGAGACTCACTTCAGATTAAAAGAAACACAGACTAAAAGGAAAGGGATGGAAAAAGATATTGCTTTGATAGACCTAGAAGGTATTTAAGTCAGACAGAGAAAGATAAACACTATATGATTTCACTTATATGTGGAATCTAAGGAATAAAAAGAATAAACTAATCAAAAACAGACTCACAAAAATAGTTGACAATCTGGTGACAGAGGAGAGGGGAGGTTGGGGGGCTGAGAGAATGGGGTGAAGGGTTAAAGAAGTACAAATTAGTAGCTGATGAATGATTACAGGGATAGGGAGCACAGCATAGAGAATGCAGTTAGCATTAATACGCTGGCTAGGTGGAAGGTCAGAGGAGGGAGGGAGCAATTGGGGCGATTGTTTTATGAACTATATAGATGTCTAACCAATGTACTGTATACTTGAAACTAATTAAAATAAATAAGTTTTTTTTTTTTTAAAGAAAGAAAAAAATAAGTAAAAGGACCAAAAAAAGAAGAAATATAGGTAATTCCTCAGTGCATGGCAAACCAGTTGCAGACTAAAAATTAGGTAAAATTAAAAACAAAGAATCTTGTAAATGATAATTTAAATTTTAAAAAAAGCAGCTAGAAAAAAGGACACCATGCACAGAAGGACAAAGATTTTTAAAAATGACAAACTTCTCAACAGAAAAAATGCAAATCAGAAAACTTTGGAACACCTTTAAGAGACTAAAAATACTGAAATCTATTAATCTAGAATTCAATTCCTGGTAAAAAAATCTTTCTAAAATGAAAGTGAAAGAATCTTTATTAGTCATACAAAGGCTCTGAGGTCAGACATACCTAGGTTTAAATCTTGCTTCTGTCTCTTACTAGCTGTGACTAATAACAAGTTATTATTATTATTGGTATCAATAATATCATTTATTACCAATTATGAAGTGTTTACTATAAATGGGTCATGTATTGTGCCAAAGCTTATATGTATATATAATCTCACTTAATCCTCACAATTCAGAAATACTTACTATTAACCTTATTTTATAGAAATGCTGGAATTTAAGCCTAGATTGACTGAACCCAAAGTCCATACTCTTAACCACTGTATCATACTACCTTGGCCTCAACTGCCTCTGTTTGTAAAATTTAAATAATAGATACACTTGGGACTATGAAGACTAAATGAGAAAATATATGTATGTCAACCAATATGATGCCTGACACATAGCAGTCATTCGGTAAATGGGCACTGTTATTATTAAGCGGTCATTCTTACCATACATCTCATCTTCCAATCCATGAACGAAGGCTCCACAAGCTCCTGACTCGATCAAGTTCACAGCCCCTGTATCTACTTCTTCTTTGGGAGCATCATCTCCCCACTTTCTGCCGCTGGAAAATTCCCCCGAACTGTAAAGCTCCTTGGCACGCTCATGTGCAGTGCGCTTCCTCTGTAGAGGACAACAACAATTACCACCTGCAGAAGTTTCATGAAGGAGCAGTAAGGTGCACCTTAAAAATATGGAAAAGTAGGAAATAAGACTGCTCTCTCAGATTTACACTTTCAAAAAAATGTTCAATATATCAGAGCAGAAAAAATGCAAATGCAAAGACTGAAGGCTCGCAGGACTATCACTGCTGACAGTAATCACATTTAAGACAGTAACCTTACTAAAGATACTGAAAGGATGTGCTGATCAGACAGGTGGTCATGTCTGCCACGGTGACATAAGAAAGGGAGAACCAGAGAAGTAAATAATAGCAGTGTCCCTCCAAACCCTATCCTGGGTAGATAATACACTAGAAAAGAATTTTTGGCGGTCCCAGTAAAAGTCAGTCTCTACTTGGCAACACTGTGCTCACCAAGCAATCTAGCAAATTCACTTTCTGCACAGTTTGCCTAAGGGAGAATATACTGGTTGGCTAAAGTAAATACCCAGTCTACTTGACAGTTACGTCTCTCATCATAAATGAATACTTTATACAACAGCCTCTTATGAACATTCTTAATGTGAGCTCTTGGTAATCATCTCAAAAGTATGGATGGAATGTAGCACCTGATCCTACAAGGATGTGGGTTAGACTCAGTAGTAAAGTTTGTACCTTGTGACCTATCTTAGAAACCCTTGCATTACCATCTCTCAACATTCACCATGATCATGTCTTTCTTTACCCTTCCACACCAGTTTACACAAAGAACACTTACCAACATCAAATGAAGGTGCTGCTCTTCAGGAAAGCCATACGGCAATGTTTCATGAAACACAGATATCAACTCTCAACCATGCCTAAGAATTTAGCCTATCTTAACAAATAACTCAAAAGAAGAAAATATCTGATATGTATAAAGATAATATTCTTTATGTGATTTATTATAATGGAAAAATTAGGAGGACTAAATATATAATAAAGAACTAAAAATGATGATGTAGCTACTTAACAGAATATTATGTAATCAGTAAAAATGCTAAGTATAAAGTTGGCAACATAAAAAAAAGTATATAATATAGTGACAAATGTAAAAAGCAGACCACAAAACTATCTGCAATGTTTATACAATGTTTAAAACATGCACAAGAAAAACAGCTGGGGAGGAATACACCAAAATGACAAAAGTCACTGTTAGAGTAATGGAAAAATGTGTAAATTTTTTCCTTTTTTCTTCTATTTATCAAAGATTCTGTAACTCTACTGTCACTTTTATAATTAAAAAGTTAAGACATTAACAATGAATGTACATATCATATTCACAGATTCATTTGGTCCTGGCAACTATGTCAGAGAACTATACAGTAAAAGCTCAAAAGCATTCCACAGAGGCATTTTTGTTACTGTTCGAAGAAAGAATTTACTCACTCTTCCATGGCAATTGCTGTTGAAAAGAAGTCCTAACATGTCACAATCTCAAAAAATAAGACCAGACCTTTGTAGTTCCTAACAAAAAGAAAGTTAATATTGCCTCTTTATAAAATACAACTTGTGCAAAGTATTTCATTATAATAATTTAAAATTCAATGAAGTAACTTGTAATTTGATTCATTACTAAGATTTTAAATTAAAATGTAATCCAATCACCCTACATTAAGTTAACAAATGCATGGGCTGCAAAATTAAATCAACATCAACTTGGCATATAGTTACATTGATGTTGGTTACAGAAACCCAGTTTAAACAACAAATAATTCAAGTTACCCTCAGATCTGACATCAGCTTCTTGTCAAGCGTCTGCTCCAAGAAATGAGAACTGACTTGCTCCATAGAGCCCTGTAAAAAGAAAGAATTCAGAACAAACTGAACATCTTTTAAGTCCTGAACATTATCGTAATATTCAAAGTTTGAAGCCAACTTAAATGCATAGCGATAACATTATTCTTGATACTAAAGACGCCTATGGGTTCTAAACGATGAGGAAAATAAAAACATTAGCAGTAGCAGCTAGCACCTAAATAGAGCTTACTATGTGTCATGCACTGTTCTGAGTACTTTATACATATAGTAACTCATTTAGTTATCCTATGAAGTAAATAGTATTATTAGTCCTATTTTATATTTGGGGACAGTAAGACACAAAAAGATTAAGTAACCCATTCAAGGTCACAAAGAGTGTAAATTACAGAGCTGGACTATAAACCCAGGTCTAGAATCCTTTGCCTTAACCACTATTCTTCACTATTTCTCTATTTCTTTCTTTTCATTCATTTGTTCACTCATTCACTCATTCAATAAAACAAATATTTATTTAGTAATCATTTGATTATATGCCTACAGTTACCAGGAACAGGAATACAAAAATAAGACAAAAATCCTGCACTCAATGATCTCAAAGACTAGTAAGGGAAACTGATAAGAGGTAACTACATTATGGTATGAATTGTTATAATACACATTTATAAAGGGTACTGTGGGAACTAAGAGAACCAGCAGTAAGGGGTGAAGACAGGGAGAGATATACTTGGGAACGAGAAATCATAAGTGCAAATGCATGAAGAGAGAATGTTATGTGGGAAACATCAAGTAGTTTCTGTGAATGGGGGTACTGAAAATAAGGCAGGACAGATAGGCAGGGATCAGGTCATAAAGGTCCTTGTTTGCCAAAGTAAGGAGTTTGCCTTATGCATAATAACTAGATAATCTCTGTTAAATGCTTAATGAGCTCAAGAATGTATAAAATATTTTACTTATATTTAAAATTTTTATTCCCCCAATAATCCCATGAAGAATGTACATGGTCCTTATTATTAGATGAGAAACTGAGGCTGAGAGATTTGGTAATTTGTTCATTTCAAATAAGAGAGAAACAGAGTCAGATTTACACCTCACAAACACCTTGGCAGGAAATGTGGCTAATGAACCCAAAGGAATCAAAATGAAGCAGGAGGCTATTAGAGCAGGTCCTGGACATTCTTAAAGAATATACTGGAGACCTTCTCTAATTCCCAAGTTAGTAAATACGGAAATGCTTACACAGGCTCAGACATTTTCTTTAAGCACATTTTGCAATAAAAGTTAAATGTTCTTTGAGAATATATTTACCCGAGTTACCACCTTTCCTACAACTCTAGGAGATCAATTAATTGTTGTGCTATTTTGATTTGTTGTTTTAAAACCACTTTTTCTTATCTCTACATGGTACAGTTGGTGGCCGTGTTTGCTACATAGATCTGTGCCAATACCAAACCTAACATTCATTTTTTAAACAATGTTTATGAATAAAAATCATAAATAGTTTATGAATAAAAACTATAAATTTTTAAGATTTCATTTTCTCTATAGTTTTACCACCAGTGTTAACAGTTGGCTTTTCAAGGTGTTTTTTCTACAAAAAATGAAAGTTTTAATGACTTCACACTAAATTAATCCACAGTCTCAATACCCTCTTTCAATACCTTCGGCTGAGCTCTCGCCCAAGAGAGTAGCAAAGAGGACATAATATTCAAATTTCAGCTTCAAAAAATTACATATCATTATTTGTAACACATTTCTAATGTTATCTAAGAAAAGTTGAAGATTTCCATTTTAAGTCCACAAATACCAGAGCTCTACAGCATAGTAATCCACTTGAAAAATGGTCAGACCTGAATGACTACAGCCCAGTAGAAACAGAGAAGGGACAGATTCAAGGTATGTCAAGAAGGTAGAACTGATGAGAGCTGACACCTCAATGGAAACAGGACACAGGAAAAGAATTCCCTAATGCCACTGGGTTCATGGCTGGGTAGGTCATTCATCACTCATGAAAGCACAGGAGAAACAGATTTGGACCAAAAGGTGAGTTAGTTCATCATAAAATGTATCTCACCAGTCAGAAAAACATCTATATTCTGCTCTACTTTAACTAAGACAAATATATTCAGGTAAGCTCTGCTTTCTCTAAATGTACCACTACCAATACTTAATTTATATTTATGATACTAAAAAAACCATGATATTTAACAAACAAGTATGCCAAACCTGCTTTCAGAGCAAAAACAGTTCAATTAGTATAAAAACAAAAGTCTATGTACTCTTTGAAGGCACCTAGCCTCTACTCAATTAGGTGATTAAAGAGGAAAAAAAAAAAACCAACAAAAAAAAGGTGAATGATTATGTGAAACTGCCCCTGACTAGGACATCTGCATTTCCCCTGGGAACAACCAGCCCTGGGCAGACTTGCAGAGATAAAAATCTAAAATCTAACTGTCTCAAAAATGTTATAATTTAAGGTCAAAGACTTCTGAAGGCTTATAAATAAGCTTTATTTAATATGAGAAATTAAACATCTTAAGAAGAAACACTGCACTAAGGACCATATCCTAGATGGAATATCAATTATCACGATGAATTTCAAAGTAGTAATTATATTCTAAATAGTTTGATGGAGCTGCGTACTTGGAAATCAAATTTCTTTGCCCAATTAGGTCAGTTATAGATAACCAAAAACCAACTATTCATACGGTTTTGAATTTTCTGAGATAGCGCACATCTGAAAATTTTCATCCTGCTGCAAGCCAAGGAGAATGGAGACTATTCATTTTTTGTACACAATGGACTAAAGCCTTATCATTTCATTTAAATTTTTAAATAACTTGGCTTCTGCTTTTCTCTTGTGCTTCGTTTTGTTGCACATCCTTCAAATTGAATATTATTCCCCTATACCAAGAAGTACTATAATGCTTGTAATTTGGGATGCCACTATAGTTTATTAGTGTGCATGATACTGTACCCCTATATCTCTGATCAGATTTCTCCTTCCTTACTTTACCTAGCTAAGTCATACTCTCAGCCTTCAAAACTCTGAAACCACCTCCTCCAAGAAGCCTTCAGTGGTTGTTCAGTGCTCTTTCCTAGAAATATCAGGTATTGTAATTGATTGCCTACATCAATCTATCAGACTATCAACTCTTTTAAAGACATAGACTATGCTCAGTGTTTGTTAACTTGATGAATATGTGGTCTAAAGACCATATGCAGTTTACTTGACCATGGGTTTATCTACTCAAGAGTTGAAGAATAGGGAGTTTACCTCTTAGCTTACATAAAGGAGCTAATAAACCAGCAAGGCCTTAACTGCACAACCACAGCTCTCAATGTGTAACTGGACCCTCACTAGGAAGGGATTCTACATGGGCTTTAAATCATGAAGTGTTATTTACTACCTACATGGCCTTGGACAAATTACATCATTTTTCTAAACCTTAGTTTTATTATTTAGAAAATGAATATTATAATACCTACCTTAAAGAGTTTAAAAGGATTAAAAATTACTTGCAAAAAGTGAATATGTATACGAGTATATGTGTATATGCATGTGTGTACAAGGAAATGGGTATATGTGCATATGGATATTTGTATAACAAAAAGTGCCTAGCTTAGTAGGCTAGAAACTCCATAAAAGTAACAATTATTATTAGCAAGATTAGATTATTTACTTTTGTAATACAAACATAATTACTTATATAATTTGTAGCTGTAAGGATTTGAAATCACTGAATTATACCATAAAGCACTTGAGTCAAATTAGAGTCATCTAAGTGGAAACCCTTTCAATTCACCACTGTAATTCAATATTCATACAGCTTGACATAAATGAATTTCAGATCTTATGGGGTACAAATTGAAAAATCTGAATGACACTGCTTTAAGGATTACTTTTCTAAGCTGCCTACTCAGATGAAGATATATCATTAAATTATTCCTCTAAACATCCTCTCCCCTCTTTCTCTCTTAGACACACACACACACACACACACAGTAGATGCTCAGAGAATGCTAAATAAAAGAATCTGATGAATGATTGGACTGCTCTGAATTTTAAAATATTCTTAGACCAAAACAAAGCTTTAAAATGTGAATTCAAAAATAAAATCAGTAACAGTAACTGGCTTGTTTAACCCTGTATTTTATTATGAACAAGCAATACAATTTATATGCAGGAAATTCTGAAATCATCCTAATTCCTTACTATTCCATGAAAATACTTCACACAGGTTTCAGCAGTTACCCCATATATACTGGTCATAGGACAAAGGCTATCACTGGATCTGTGGGCTATCACTGGGAAGTGTCCAAAAAGAATCTCAGGCATTTTTGCTGTGATATTATACAAAGTTTTATAGATATTTATATGTATTTACATACTATAATCACCTCCACCATCTCACATAGACTGTTACAATAAACAAACATTTTCATACACAGTCTCTCATTTGAGCATCGTGATAACCTTGTGAGGTATATATTTGATATATATATGATATTAAACCCACTTAATAGATGAGGAAACTGAAACTAAGATTAAGTGACATGTCCGGGATAACACGGCTATAATATAAGGCTATTAGGCCAACACTCCTTCTGTAAGACAGCTCCATCTCTGAAAAGTTAAAATTGTTTTTACAAATGTACTACAAGTTCCCAAAGGCAAAACAGTAGGAAAGTATCAGGATAAAAGTCAGGAGATTAGTATCTGAATCTTAGTCTACAACTTTCTTTCTATATAAATTGGATAATATTCTTAACTTCTCTAAGCCTCAGTTTTCTCACTTGAATAATGGGAATATCAACATCTATCTTGCTGGGTTCCCATGAAGAATAAATGAGATCATGTTAATGGCTTCACAGCAAAGTAAGTCATAACGGGTGCTTAGTAAATGGTAGCAATTATTTTTATTATTATTTTCCTTTTTCTCTAGGCCTTAGCTATGTAATATGTTAACAAGTTTAAAGTGGATTATCTTAAAATTTTTGTAGTTCTAAAAGACTGCTTCTCCATTGGAAAGTGAGCCATTTCTTTCTATTTTAAGAAATTTTCTATTTTAAGAAATACTAAGGTTTCTAAAAGTAGTTACAACTGTCCCTATCTGTAGTTTCTCAAAATATGTGTACAAGTGCTAACAGGCAACATGTTCACTAAAGAAAGTAGAGCTTACCAGTAACTTTGCAGCTTGAACTCGAACTACCCAGGAGCCATCACTGACCATGTGACAAATTTTTCCAAATGCATCATCAACTAAGCGAATTTCTTCATTAGAAGAAGGGATTGGGACAATGCTAAATTTTAAAAAAAGGAAACCACAAATGACAAAACATAAGCCTAAAGCTGCAGGTTCAACTGAGTATGACCAATGAAAACTGGCATGGGTAGAATAATTGAATATTAAAATCCTAGAATGATGAAATATATTTAGGTGCACTGCAAATTTTCAGTGTCTTGAATAAAAGTGTTTAACCCACCAAAGGTTCAAAGATTTATGAAGATACCAAAAACTAGCTACCATAGAGTATTTTTATATCTCTAGGTTTATTCATCGCTACATTTGCATCACTCTCAATATAGTAAATCACAGAATAATTGAATATACTTGCAAATCTCATCCTAAAAGAAGAGGCAAATTCCAATTAATTCTTTCTTTTGTGGTGGGGCGGGGGGTGTCTGTAGGTTTATTAAAGCATTCTGGTTTTCTGAATTCAGCAGGCAATTTAACGAGGAGGAAAAAAACACTTCTTTTCCTATAGAAGTAGCTCCTCTATAAAAAGAATAATAATATTTCTCTCTCCACATCAAAGAATCTCTGTGTGAATAAATGATTTGATTACTGTGAAAATATTTATAACCAGGAAAATACTACATAAGGGATCATTATTCTCAAACCACCTGGTATCTTTATCTGGCATTTGTATTTACTAAAATGGGCCCCAAACAATTTTAAAGGTTAAAAAAGAGCGGCACGGGGAGGCTGCAAAGCACTTGAGACAGTCCCATCTCTTCATTTATAGAAGAAGAGGCTGGAAGCCAGAGAGGTGAAGTATCTTTCCCAAGGTACACAGAAAGTTCATGGAAGGCAGAACTGAAGAACAAGGACTAGGTATTCTGATTTTAAGGTCTCTGCTTTTCCCCTATTGCACACTGCTTTCCAAAAATCTAAACAACATTCTTTTTCTGGAGGTGGGCTTTTTGCATGGTAGGAGGAAAGAAAATGGCTTAGCAATGAACAAAAGCTGGCTTACACCCACACTGACCTTTCAGGATAGAGCTGACTGACAACCCAGATAAGCTGGACTGCAGCACTGCGCACTTGTTCATAGTCATCAGAGAGCAATTTACAGGCCTGCAAACAAGGATTCCAAAAGTCTGTTAGTTTTGTGTCCCCCAGGTGATGTGCAAACTATTTTCACAATGAAGATAGGGTAGCTGAATAAGGATGCCAATCATAATACTTGTGGGTGGTTTTAACTTGTTGCATCTTTGTCCAACAAAGAATTCTTGGCCCCTGTCAGCTGCTCTGTGTTCTGACTATGCATCCTCCTACTCCATGTCAGAACCACAGACTGACAGCACAAAAGCCATCTAGAATAGCACAATCCTAGCAAAGCTGACTGGGAGCCCACAGTGCTACTTTCACAGGCTTGAAGACCAGAGATAGTTTCTTCCTCCATCTGTAAAATCAAAGCACAATTTTCTGATTGACAAGCTGTCTGAAATTAATGTACAGATTTTTGTTTTACTTTGCTCTGAAATGAAATATCCCCACTCCAGCCAGTCATAGCATTACCCTAAACTTCAACACCCAAACTACTCCATTTCTGAAATTTTAAAATTCTATATGCCATGCTATGACCATAATATGCTACTTCACCAGCTCTTCCATTTCCATGACTTAACCCATCATACCTGCTCCTCAATCCCAGTTAGCCTACCTATCCATTTAATCCTTTTCTCAATCTTGGCACTTCTGACATTTTGGACTGGATAATTCTTTGTTGTGAAGGGCTATCCTGTCCATTGTAAGATATTTAGCAGCATTCCTGGCCCCCTTCCACCAGACGGTTGTAGCACCGCACCCTCACCCTCTCCCTCTCCCCAAGAGTTTCAACAGTCAAAAATACCTCCTATCCTGACCTTTCATCAGCATTTGACACTGTTCACTGAGAACTCTCTCTTGCCTTTTCTGGAATATATTCTTCCTCTTCCTCCATCTGGTTGCTCCTCAGTTCCATTCTAGGGCTCCTTTATTGTATACCTCTTAAATGTTGGATCTTGCCCATGGTTCCACTCTTGGTCTCTTTTAAGCTTCTTACTCTCCCTTGAGTATCACCATACACCTTAGATATTGATGGATCCGAATACTCATCTCCAGCTCTGATCTCCTCCGATCTCCACACCTTCAAAACTATCTATGACCTAGAATTCTTATTATAGTTGTTGTCCCACCAAGTCTTAAAAAGTCAATATAACCAAAGCAACTAATTCTACCTTTAATCTCAAATTCTCCACCATAGTTCCATCCTCATTCCCTTGAAGAAGGCCTTGAGGCCCTCATCATTGCTTGCCTAGTGTTAAAAAGAAACAACAGGCCCAAACTGGAGTCACTTCTGCTAAGCCCCACCAAGACTTAATACCTAATCTAACTGCAGTTTCAGCCTCTCCCAAATGTAGAATTTTAATCCAAAAAGTCTAAAATTTCCTGGCCAGCACTATTAATTTGCTGATTAATCTGCCTGCCTTTCCCTAAAAGAAAGTAACCCTACCCAAAATAAGCCACTTTTAATGTCC